GGATGAGAACAACTTTTGGGAAAGCAAGGCTATGTGAAATTCAATGGAAACGTCGGCTCAACTCATATCAGTGGGAAAATTCTTCTACCAATCCTTCATCACCTTAAACGAAATTGGGTGAATACATCCTGTATTAGCAATATATTCAGCGCACTTCAAATTTCGGAACCATAGACCTTTGTGTTCAAATAATCATTTCTAAATGGTTCGGCAGGTCACACCCACATAGCTATTACCACATGATCATTAAGCATGGTAACAGTCTGATCTAGAAAGAGGATCCGAGAATTCGCGAAAATAGAGCCTCACTGTAGGAAATGCTAGCTTATCGACGTAAAGAAACGGCTGTGATCGCATACATTTGCCTCATGAATCAATTTTACACATATGCGAGCATGTAGGATAAGCATAAGGCAACCAAACAGAGCATAGGATGCCTCATTAAGATAGCAAATTTAGGTATAAAAAGTAGGTTTACAGCGTTACTCTTTCCCGTAGTTTAGTCTATGGACGCGCTTTCTTACGCTTTGACTTAGAAGGCTCCGCATGGGTTTACTGTGGTTGCAGGACAGTGAGCCGAGGACTTGTTTGCACAATCCCCCAGGAAAATCCTTCGGTTTGTAATGAAGCCAACTTTCCGCTCAAAATGCAGTCTGATTAGATTAGTCTAATTGATTGCCCTTAAATGAAGGGCATGGTTGACAGATTTCTGTTGATTCCTCAATCTCAGACGATTGCAATGACGAACGAATACAAGTTTGCTGCATCGACAACCAACAGTAAAGTTAGTGGAGGCTAGGCGTGCCTTGAAATTGTAATCTGCCCTTTGACCCACTGGTGCTCGTTGCAGTGGGGTGGTGGCAACGCGTAGCAACTTTACGCCAACGATCCGGTTTCGAATCCTCTTTGGTATGCTGAGTGAACCACTTAGTACTGTGCGAAATCGCATCTATCAGTCTAAGCGACATACTCAAGAATTAGACTTTTTACATCTATGCTAAATGTATAAAAATAATGGGAAGCCTCATTAGAATCAAAATGTGATAGCAAATGATCTTAGGACCACAGCCGGCTCATGAAGGCAGCAGAGCCCTAAAGGAATCGTTCTAAGAATCGTACCTGGATATGCCCCATATTATAGATTGGCTTGGCACAGACCAACCAGGATAGGATAAAGGAGCATCAATTGAAGGTTCATAGCTGAAAGATGATCCTACCCTGGCTTAAAGTGGCATCAGTAAGTTTTTTCCTCTTGTTTTTTTACAAGCCAGCCACCTCAACATGAAGTTTTCGAAGAATCAAGACAAAGTGTGAGCTAATGGATCACATGGGATTACGGTTTGTAAGGTCTCGATAAAACTTGAATTTCAGAACAGCAATTTTATACTTGCTTACACGAATTATACAAATTCATCTAAGCCGTGTGTGGCCTAAAAGACCCAGACAATTTGATTCACCGTATAATGGCATGACTAACGAATATTAGCAGTTTTCTATAATTTAAAAAGATGTCGAGTATTGTACTCATCTATCTATATGTCAAGTAGACAATATATTCCTGGCAGAATGTTAGCTCAGTGATATAAGCGCATACTAGGTAACGTCCACACACACGAAGGACAAAAGCCCATACATAGGCTGGTCCAAAAAGAATACACTTGAGAGTAACAATAGAACAGAACGCAAGGGCAAAGAAGTAAATTTTAATTTCCCAAAGCAGATAAAACAAATGTTGTTGCCTAAGGGATGTTGCGTTGAGGAAGAGGCCTAAGACACCATGACCATGCCAAACATAACGAGCATGGTGCAATGCCTTGCCAAAGAGAAAAAACAAGGAAGTGATAAGATGTATAACAAGATTGCAGAGAATACGCGAGTTCGTTGGTGAGCATCTGATCGCTTGTGCCAGATCAAGAAAAAAGTACACAATATGGACACAAGCAAGCTGAGCGAAGAAAAAAAATAGGGAGGCTTGCGCAGTCAAGTTTGACCAAGTCTATGTACAGGAATAGACACAAATTGGTGTTGCCCTTATTAAATATGAAAGTGAAAATATCAGCTTTTAAAAGTTCAAACATGATAAAAGAATAACAGTGAGAAATAAAAAGAACTCGAGGGATTGCGAAAATTTTACTAGATTAGTCGTTGGTTGAATTTGGAAGGCAGAAAATATTAATAGTGATTGTCAACGTCGAATCTTTTTAGAGAAAGGGAAGGCGACAAGACTAAGCAAAATGGAAGCCGTCCCTAATAGGAAATAAATGTAAGAGAAAATAAAAAATCGTCAAGAAAGTTTAGTTCATCCTGATGAATTTTATTGGGTCTAATGAAAGCAAAAAATACCGGTAGGATTACTGTTAAAGCAGCAAATTAAATGAATGAAATACGGCTCGAATATTTTCAGGAATGCGATATTCATTTCCATACATAGTAATATGTGCGTGTGTGGAGTCTAGGATTTGGTTGGATAAGCAACAAAAGTTACTTGGTTTATCGTGTAGCGAGATAAAAAATAACTCAATTAGTACAAGTAGCCAAGTAATTGATAAAAATGAAAATACTCAAGTTCGTAGTCGATATAAAGAAAATAGTAGTAAATGAACCTATGGAGATGACAAGTTGGAAAATAGGACGGAAGGGGAAAAGAATCAGAGAACAAACTGAACGAGCGGCAACAAAGTAATTTTGAGCTGATTTTACTCGATTAACGAGTATATTAAGGGATTATGTGGATACACTAAAGGTAAATTTATATGTATAAAAAGGGAAAAAACAAAGATTCAATGTATATCCAAGGTTTAAAACACATTAGAAGACAGTTAGATAGAATAGAAAAGCTATGTACAAATAATTGTCGGAACGATGGCCCCGGAGTGTAGCATGTCTGAAACTGTCCAAAATGGATAGATATAGAAATAATAAGAAAAGGAAAGCAGGTATTGAGCTGAGCAAATATAAGACCCGAATGATACATTAATCGTTGTAGTTTCTGCTTTGGTTTCATACGGCCAGAACGACTACACAATTAGTGGTGGCCGGATCCAGCGGTCGCGTTGTTGGCATATGCATTGGTGGTCTCGGCAAACGCCATGGAGCCAGGAAACAAGAGTCCACCTCCACCGACAGCAGCCGAGATGGAGACGGTTGTTGTAGCATCTAATCCACTCGTAACAGCTGCACTGCTTGTCATCTGTGGTTGGTATGCATCGTTCTGCTGAGATCGTTGCTGCTGCAGCTGTTGTTGTTGTTGCTGTTGGTGAAAAGCAGCCGCCATCAGCGCAGCGGATGCAACGCCTCCTACCAGTGAGTGAGCCTGTCCATGAGTGGCAACATGGGTGGGCGGATGATGCACATGATGTGCCAGATGGGCATGATGTGGATGTTGCGGATGGAGGGGATGTGGATGCTGCTGAAGTTGTGGCTGTTGGTGTTGTGTAATCGATGAGCGATGTTCATCCAAGGACTCAAATTTCATTTCTGTGGCCACAGGACCTATCAGATGAGGAGTAGATGTGGTCACAAAGGCCAACGATGATGTGCTACCACCAGAGCTGGTAAGGTCCCCCGTGCTGCCAGCAGGGCCAGTTGTGCTACCACTGCCAGCACTGCTGTTGCTATTGCCACCGGCACCCACAGCAGCCACAGCGGCAGATGCGGCAACAGCCGCAGCTGCGGCTGCCGCCGCTTGCACCGAAGGTGGCGCAGGAATCGTTGCAAGTAAGCCGCCACCTCCAGTAGCCACACCTACGCCAACATTGCCAGGGGTAGCATTGACAACACTGGCAAGCCCGGTTGCGTCTGGAGACAGCTGTTGAGTAGAGACGCCTGTGGCAACAGCAGCGGCAGCAGCTGCTGCCTGGGCAACACGATGCGCCTGAGAGTCGGTTACAACACCAATCACCTAAGCGAATAGGGGGGATTATTACATGAATGTGATGACAGTTGATTGACATGTATCGAATTCCATGATCCATCCTGCTACGACAAAAGAAATCTAACGTTTATCTATAATTATGATCATCTTGCCTGTTAAATGACGAAAGAAATTCCGAATTACCTTGATATTCAGATGAATACACTTATAAGTTATGTGGTGGCCGTGTGAAGTAGTAACCTCAATGTTATGATATTACGCTTTTTTTGATACAATGATATGGGCTTTTAAAGATAAATGGGTTACTGAAATTTACATATCTTATTTAAATGATACAAGTTTTAAAGCACCATTAAATAAACAACTAACAAGAGTAAGTAGTCAGGAGTCAAATGCTTATTCAAACACAAG